TATAGGAGAATTTTGTCAGGACATTGGAAACTGTCCGTAACATAGGAGAGGTGTCCATGCCGAGAGGTACGACTGTAGTTTAGTAGGAGAAAGAGAAATCCATTTGTGGTGTGTTTACGTCCTCCATAAAAAGTCCACTAACAGAGGGAATTTTATGTGGCTTTTATGCAGTGATGTCAAAAAAGTGTGTCTTCTTGTTTGGCCTAGGAGAAGTATAAAATTAATGTATTTTGCTTTTTTGATGTCTTTATTGCTGTTGCAGTTGTTGTTGCTACGTCAGCTCTCTATTTTGATCTGAAGGGGCACAGTGTCATGACGTATGGAAAAACCCACGTACATAAATTTGTATATAGTGAAACTACCGGTTATTACGAAAATGTTCCTGTGTTGTTTAAGTGGTACTTGTTACACCTACAGTGTAAGTGCAAATAAAAATGAAACTTTCATCATTGAATGAAGACATGAAAAATCATGAATATTTTGTTATTTGAAAACTCAGTGAGGCTAATATTATTATTTTCAGCTTGAATTATTCATGCATCTTGAACAGATTGCTGAAAATATTTTGTTTCTTTTGTTTTGCCATTTAAAGGGAGTCAGGAATTTGCATTTAGGAGGGTACAGTGTTGTCAATTTATGTGATTTTTTTAATAGATCAATTGAAAATTTATGGTATAACGATTTACAACAAGTTTAGAAAGTTAGAAAGAATTGTACATGATGTTTCAAAAGCTGAGTAGCAGACACATTTAACATTGAAGTTTGTTCTGTCGATGTTTTAAATAATTGTCGTGACTTAACCTTATGGATTAATTAAGTTGGCCAATGGCATACAGTGTATTTTGTATTTTTATTTAATCTACAGATTTCGTAGTTTTTTGAAGTACAAATTCATCAAAACACAATTTTTCACAAATTTTTTCAACACTCTGTCACCAATTTGGCACACCGTAGATAACAGAGTAATCTAAAATGCTACAGAAAAGGGGTTGGTTGATGGCTGCTAAACTTCAGCAACAGTTTGCCCAAAGGGCAATGAGTTTTAATTTTCATCTCACCCTGATTCAGGCACCTATCAGCTTCTTCTCAGTAACAAAGGAGCTGTGACATTAAGCAACAGTAAGGGCGGATTTAGGGGTGGGCCAAAGGGGGCCTTTTTTCCTTGAAATTATTTTGTATTATTTTTATAGAATTCTCAGAACAATAAAACGTTTCTATATAGCTGGCAAGTGGGCAAGTGTCCCAGCCACCCTTTTCTGAATTTTCTGGATCCACCCCTGGCTGCTGCTGGTAAGATGAGTTCATGAGAGATTATTTCTCCATTTTCGATAACTAATTATTTAGAGACCAAAAACCAATTCCAGCATACAGCAAATAATACAAAATGTACATGTATGTATTGCATGCTATTATCAAACTGGAATGAATTATGCAAAAGATTCCATTTAAACCCCACTAACCTAGTAGCCCAGAGAAAATAACTCAGGTTTGTGGAGATGGACCAGATGGAGAGATCTAGGCTGGGACATACATGGGAAAGAACTAATAATTTTTGTTGTCAGGGACTTGACTGACAGCCTTCTTTGTGTATTTCCCTGCAGTAATAACAGAACTTTGCTTATGCTTATCAGTAGATCAATGACAAGTGAATATGGTGTTTTCATCCCTTTTTCTAATAATCTAGTTTTTGCTCCTGTTCTTCGATGAATTACCTTTCCATGTTGTTTTTCCAGACCTAAATCTCCCAAAGGCTGGTCCACATGATGTAAGCTTTTTCGATTGTTTTTCTTCCTGTGGTGCTGATACTGTGTAAGCTTTCCTTGGGTTTCTGAGGTGGAAATTGAAATAGCAGTTACAAAAACAAACTGCATGGATACTGCTAGTTCAAAAGTAGTTCAGGAAACTTCCTCTTCTTGGCTTGCTATTATCTCTTTCTAAGCCACTGTATGACTTTGTGATTTCTCTTTTTTCAAAAGTTGGGTATGATTGTAGGTCATGTGTATTATACTGTTAAGTCCTATTTCATGATACAGTACCAAACGAGTATAAAAATCAACTCTTTTAGTTATTTGGATCTGAAATATTATTTATTGAGGTCCCTAAAGTCAACAGCCTATGTTATTTTTGCTATCATTTATGGGTACTTTAATTTTGGTTCCAGTTCATAACATTCTCCCAGTTCCCTTGCCCTGTTTGTTCGGTAAGGGTTAAGCTCCGTCAGGCGGGGTTAGTACTGGGATAAGTGAGACCTTTTGGGATATAACATGTAATATACTTTGACTTTAAGTTTATTTTTCAAAAGAAAGCAGTTCATTGTTTAAACATGCTTGTTCCATGTGAAAGTTTTAGAGTCAGTAAAGTTTTACTGCGTTCATTGTAAGTAGCTAGGGGAAGGGGTGAACTAGAGCTAACAGATAGTGCTGCTTTTTATATCATGCAGACGACCCACGTATTGTGTACAGTATAGATATAGTTGGTTTAAAGAAAGTTTAAAGTGTTTAAAGCGCAGGTTAGCTTAATTGTTTATAGTACAGTATTGTTGTAAAGTGCAATGAACAAGTCATGTTCACAAGGACAGTTAATTACTATGTCAAACCCAGGTTACTTACCAGATTGTCATTTCGACATCCATGAAGCCGTGGTTGACTAAATGTGCCTTTTTTTTTTTCGGATGAGCAGTGAGCGTGGGTGGAGGGGCAAGCGTATAAACTAGATGCATAAGTTAATCAAGTTCCGCATAGCATAAATTGCTCTATTTAGTTGTGAAAAGGAACATGGTCCACTGCAAATGGAGTAGTAACAATCTAGCACTGGAAAAGAAATTGCATGTTGATTCTTCAGATTTTCACATTTTGGCCACCTGAATTATAGGAACATAAAACAATTATCGCACAAAGGGGGGGTCACAGGCACCCAAGGACCACCCTCTAGCTACGCCCCTGATGAGGAGAAAGAAAATTTCACCACTGCTTGTTTACGTCCTGCATAAATCTTGAAATTTGGCATTTTCTTGTCCTGGTCCTGCAGTGATGGCTAAAAAAAGTACAAAAAAAGCGAGATGCCCGTGCAGAGTTGTTGCTTTGCCTAGGTATTAATTTGAACCTATTGCCTTTTTCACGTTCTCTTTGTTGTCGCTGTTGTGGCATCTTAAAGTCCCTAATGATGATTTCTTTATGCTGTCTTTCTTGGTTAATTATTAACGAACCCCAGTCCAACCTCTATTCAGGGGGAATCTCTATTCAAGGGACACTTGCTTTGGTCCTGAGGGTGTCCCCTGAATAGAGGTTTCATTGTATTTGTTTTATCTATTGCTTCAAGTTTATTTTTTTGTTTTCAAAGCTCACTTAATAACAGTATTTTTGTGCTGTGCACTGTGAGCCTGTCGACTTTCTTGATCGGTATTATTATGAATGTCTTTGATAACTAAGACTTTTCTATACTCCATTTCTTGTACACTGTACAAGTTAAAATTCACACCAAATAGTATTGCATGAAACCCGAAATGATGCGACAATGGCCGCTATTGTAAAGTGAAATTTATCGTACATTATAAAGTTATTCTTCAGGTATTATTAAGTCAGTCCGATAATGAGTTTTTTGTGTGTCTTGCACAAAAATATTTATCATCTTAATTTAGTTTTTTGCTACTTATTATCCCCCTTTGTTCTAATTGTAATCTTTCTTTCATCTACTGTGGGGGAGAGAAGATGTTGCCTGGCTTGCTCAAAAATGGTAGGGGATTAAAGGAATGTGGTGGTGCCCTCTACCTAAAGATCTTGGGACGAGCAAGGGACCACATGGTCTAGTGTATACTGGGCAACCCTAAGTCTGGCAAAATATAGGTTCTAATGTATTTTGGGGTATTTATTGGCAATTTAGGCTAGGTGGGTTCTTAATTAGGCTCTTAAATTTTATGAAGGAGATAATAGATTGTTGATTAGGAGAAAAACAAATAAACTTTTTATTTATTCACAATTGTATTATTATAACCCTAACAAAACTGATTACCGAATTTATATATAGTTTAGTACCGTATGTTTTTCTTGCACTTAAAAATTTACAACTCAAAGTTACACTCCTTTGTTAAGTTGTTATCATAATTCAACTGTAACCCACTGTCACGTATAAGAACCTGCTTGATTTTGCTTGGCTAAACAGGTTCTTGTATTTTTGGGTATTAAAGTGGCAAATTTCTGCCAGGAGGTTCTTAATCCACAGGTTCTTATTAGCCGGTTTTTACTGTAACTGCCTTTATAGTCAAACAAGTCAAACCTGTATTAAGCGCACCTCTATAAGCGGCCACCAAGTGCTGCAAATAGGGCTTCCCTTAATTATTGTAAAAACTGATCGCTATTTAGCACTTACCTCTATTAAGCAGCCGTGGTCACCTGTTTCGAGGACCCATTGAGTAATTTGTTGTTGTCTTTTATTGTATACCTATATTAAACTGTCCCTTTGACAAGATGTGCCATACTAGTACAAAAGGATAGACCGTGTAAGGCGTTTAGTGGTCTTTTACAGACTCAACAACCCCCAAAAGGCAAAAAAGAATGTGAGATTCTGGAGCTAGAGCTGGGAAAAATAGAAAGAAACGGGTAAAAAGTCGTGAGATGTCGCAAAGAAATTCACACGGCGGGTCATAAATTAAGGAGCAAAACAAGGATCGTGGGTAGTTTTAATACTGAAAGATTACAGTTGAGGACCGAAAATTTACCAATCGTAGAACAAGAAATACGAGTTGCGGTGAAAAAAAAAAGTAACGAAAATATAAATAAGAGCGGTCTTGACAAATGATTTTGAGCAGAACATATTGAACTCGTTTTGCTGTAGCTGAGGGCATAACTATTTAATCCTGTAGCAAGTGAGATCCCAGTGAAATGGGCTGTGAATAGTTGTGTTTAGTTGTTATTTTACAGAAACTGCCACTATAGTCAGTATAGCTTAAATCATATTATTATATTTCCTTACCGTTTCAGTTTAAAATTTTGCCTGAAACTACAATGAAGGTCACCAACGATACAGTTACAATTAGAGAACTAAAACTAAACAGAGGTCCTAAAGAACAAACTGTTCAACTAAAAGATGCTGATCCAAATGAGCTTCAGCTTTTTATTGACAAGATGCCCGCCACTATCAAAGGTAAGAGTGTGTTGGTTTCGATTTTGGAATAAAGAGGTACATGGCTGAACCTCTGTACTAACCTTGGATTAGGCCCTCTTTTCGTTTCGGTTTCTAAATAACACTCCGGCGGGCAAGGCGAAACGAAAAGAGAGCCCGATTTTTAGCGGTAGCCGTTAGAGAGAATGTATGAGAACCGCTAAAATTGGGCCTGATCTCAAGTTACCTCTGTAGTTATGTATGGAAACAGGCAGATCAAGGTTAATATGGTGAGAGTAGCTTTAGTTATTTTTGTTTTGGTTTTTAAATAAAAGGAGGAATGACGTTAAACTTTTAAGTTACTGCATGTATGTACGTAGGTTTAGTAATTAGTTACTTTTTTTTTAAATTGAGAAACATATGGTTAACTCGGGCTTAAATATTTAAAATTGTTGAGTGAAATATCCAGACTTAATTTTATAAACATAAACGCTAATAAATTTGGTCAACCGGCAATCCTCGCGTCAAAACAGTGTTCGCTGTTAACAGTGTCAAGAGGGGTGTCTGTAAAACATGCACGGACCGGACACTTGCGGATCGCGGATGCGGATGGGAAAATGCGGATGGAAAAATGCGGAAAGAATAAAACGAGAAATGCCGATGGCAAAAATAAACAAACAAACAAACAAACAAAGGAAAGAAATCGTTCTTTCAAGGTTCTGTCACATGGTTGGGCCCTTCATGTACAGAGCTCTTGGTCAATAATTGGCACAGGTTACTCGTGGTTTTTTTCTCAATTCTTTGAACCCTGTAATTCCTTTTATTAATGTGACAGAAACAAGGACGCTCCGTTCCTCCTCTTAAACCACGCATGCTATGGTGCACTTGTCCTTTGAGTATATAGCCTGGATATAGTGTACTCAACTTACAGAAGAGAAAATATCCTCTGGGCGATCAAATCGAGAATAATTTGTTTGAGCGCCTTGAGACAAAAAAACGCAGCGTCAAAAAGGAAAAAGGCGGAACATAGGTATGTAACTTTCCGATTTGGCAGATGCCAATCAACTCCGCCTATCGTGTGAATTTATTTTTTACAAGTTCTACCTTTTGGGAATTTGTAAGTGCACGGTGAATTATGAATTCGAATTTTAAAACTGTAAAATATACTGTCGATTGAAAAGAAAAAACATACTTGATCAAACAAGTTATTTCCCGAAAATGTGCAAGAAAAAAATCGCCTCATCTTAAAGCATCCTTAAAATCAAACTCCCGCAAAAAAAGTGTCCCTAGTGAAACGCATTAATGAAGGATACGTTCTGTTTCATTTGTTTTTGTTTTTAATTTTCGTCCAAAAAAAAAGAGTTTTCAAAACATATCCTTAGCTATTTTTTAGAACGTCTGTATCGAGCAACCTAAAACTCGTCATAAACCACGTGACAGGCAGATTCGGAATCGAAAATATATGATATTCGGTTTATTTGGACCGCTCTCGTCAATGTGGGACGCAGCAACCAAACACAAAACTGCTTTTTAAAGATTTTAACAATGTCTACACCAGATCACCCACTTTTATTCGTTACATACATTCATACACTGTTACAGGTATAGCCATTTCGACACCTAAAGCAGGATCGTGAGGTTATCGCTAAATCAAGATCTCTCCTTACAGATAACCCACCCGGCCCAGGGGCGGATCCAGGATTTTTTTAGGAGGGGGTGCACTTGTCTCTTGCTCTACTTCAACACCGATAAACCCCATAGTTTTTTTTTTTTTGCAGAACACAAGTTGTATTAGAAAACCGAAGGTCATCTCAGGGGCGGGGGGGGGGGTGCGCACCCGCTGCACCCTCCCCCTAGATCCGCCTCTGCGGCCCAGGAAAGGTCAGTCACACCACTAGGGTCTATTGCTCTTTTCGAACAGTGGTGTGGGTTCTTTTACGTCCTACAAGAACCAGATAAGTGACAGTACTGTGAGAGGGACCTACGTATTTCGTCCTTATCCGAGAACACTTGAAAGTGTAGCTGTTTGCAGATGTCATTATAAAGGCAGCACTTTCTTCTCAGTTATTAAAAGACCCTGAGTGTTGGTCCGGACGGGGTTTGAACCCGCGACCTCTCGCCCAGCAGACCCGCGCTCTCCCAACTGAGCTAACCAGAAAAGAAAGAACCTTTGCGTAAAGTTGTGAAAATGGACCGAAGGCCAGACAAATACTTCTGTTGAGGGAGCGCCATATTGCTTGAAAAAGAAGCTCTGTGGAAAAACCCTCGTTAAACAAGACCGATTCACACAAAACCAGAAGAAAAAAAGAAGGGTTTGTGATACCAAGTCAAGAAACATATCTTTTACGTCTCATGTCTTGCGTTGAGCATGTGGTAGCCTGTCAAAAACAAATCGCAGATTTGAAAGGACCCAGTTTGCTCAGGAAATTAGAAAAGATCCGAAAGTGAAAAAAAAAAAAAAGATTAGTGTAACAGTAACTTACCTTTTAAACGCAAAAGCTTCACGCTCTAAACTGTCTTCCATGGCAGAGCTGACCTGAGTCTAGGCGCAGTGCCAGCGTTACATGAAGAGCCTTTTCAATACCAGGCTCCTTTGGTGAAAACAGGGCGATTTACGAGGCGAGCGCGAAACAGGCGAAGCAACGCACGCTGATTGTTTTGGCGCAGTTCACCTTTTTTTGGTTTATTTTGTCTTGTTTTCTCCAGTTTCTTTCTTTCTTTTTTTTTTTTAATAAAAAGTTGTCCCAACAACTTTATATACGAGTTTTCTCTGCGATGATGGATATCTAGCTATTATTTATAATCGGGATTTAAATATAACAGAACCACAAACGAAAAAACACATGCTTTAGTAAAATTTATATATCCGAAATATTATTATTGTACTATTGTCTGCAATTTTTTCCTTCAGTCCGCATTTTTCCATCCGCATTTTCCCATCCGCATCCGTCATCCGCAGGTATCTGGTCCTTGTTTTACAGACACCCGTGTCAAGAGGGGTACACTACAATAACAACATTTATCTACTTAAAAACAAAAACGCCCGCAAAACATGATATCGGGCTGGCCCCAATTCTAGTGATTTGAAGTCAACAAATCAGATCATATTTAAGACTATGAAAGCTTAGAGACAAACATTAGTCTGTAATCCAGAAATCGATTGATGCGAATTAACTGCTCGCCTCATTCTTCTCGCGCGCTGGCGGTTTTGCCGCCAAAATTTCCCCTGAGATCCTGACTCGTCCTCAGTCTTCTCTTGTCATTTGTTAGCGGTCACGAGGGAATAGAGGCCTTTAACATCAGGTTTTTCATGGGAAACCGCAAACCTAGGAATGTCATGTGACCAAGGTCTTGCTGTCACGTTTGCCGTTTGGAGTTCACATTTGAACGGCAGGAAGGGCTTTCAGCGATAAGTGACTTACGGCAAGGTTTTTTTGCCTCTAAAAATTGTACAGCCTCACGTTTAAAGGAACGAATAAGCTTTCTATATCTACCTGTAATGTGTTACTTAGTTTTTTGATCTCGAAGCAATGAATTAGTTATGTTTTTGGGCGAAAAAAACAAGAACTTCGAATTTACGAAAAACAACATGACGGCACTAAACAATGAACGACTTGCTTAAATTTGAAATCCCGGCAACGTGAAACTGTAGACTTGTTATTGTAACTGCAAACTGAAAAACCTGATGCTAAAGGTCTCTAATATTACGGCATCTCCCCAAAGCAAAGTCATATGATGGCAAGAAATACAGTGAAACCTCTATTAAGCAGACACCCTCTATTAAGCGGACACTAAGCCGGGTCCCGAAATTAACTTCTTATATTTCCCTTTATAACGAACCCCTATTCAGTGGACACCTCTATTAAGCGGACGCGGACACTAAAATAAGTTGTATTTGGCTAATTTCTATTGTTAAAAACCTCTATTAACGGACACCGGACTGAATTGACAAGAGTAGTATTGGATTACGTCCTTCAAATACGTAATGAAGTCAGACGATGTTTTTGCATTTATAAACAAATTCAAGTTGGTAATAAAAGGTAATGCATGTTAACAACATGCAACTTTATCACACTACAGATTAACCGTTCAGTGTTGATCGTTAACAAACGTTGCGCAACTTTTACAACCTCTATTAAGCGGATACTTGGGGAGGTCCCGAAGGTATCCCTTAATAGAGGTTTCATTGTTTTAAATTGGAAAATATTTGGCTATTTCTCCCTACACTTTCGTTGGGTAATTCATCGACCAGTACAGACAGCCATAGGAAATGGATCCGAGAAGAGCTACATGTATTTTTTACCCCTTCATCCTGTTCTTTCAAAAGGCGTATCTCACGCTCGCCTCCCATCAACGTGGCCCGGGTTCGAATCCTAGCGTCCACGCCATATGTAGGTTGAGTTTGTTGTCGATTTTCTCCCTTGCACCTTGCACCAAGAGGTTTTTCTACGGGTACTTCGGTTTTCTCCTCTCCTTTAAAACCAACACTTTCAAATTCCAATTCGATCTGGAACGCAAGGACATGTTTCAACGAGTTCTTAACAACTCCCAGGTGTTCCGTGGGTAAACAAATTACACCGAAAAAAATGGCCCCAGTTGCTGACATGTTAGATAGCGCAATCCACCGGATAAATCCCTGTCCAGCGGAAAAGTAGAGTTTGGAAGCAGGAGATTTCTACTGCTGACCAGAAAGATCAGCCCAATAGTCCAGTTTCGAATTAAAAATTACCACTGAATATAAACATTATCGACACATTCATACAGGGTTAGCCTCGACGTAAAGCAAAATATTCAGAAATTCTGGCAAGTAAGTGTTTAAAATTTGAATATACACAATAGACAGAGTAATAAACAGGTCTTTTTCTCGTTGTAATTTGTGAATATATTACTTCAGATGGAGTCTAAGGCTGTAAAAAATGCGTCTTCACTTCTTTAATTCAGCGGTAATAGCGAACTCGAAAATGGACTGTTGCGTTATACACTGGATAGAGATTTATCCAGGTGATAACGCTATCCATCGGTTGAACAACAGCTGCCTGGTTCTTACATGCTTGTGCGCATGTTATCGTTACACACTGTATAGCTTTACATTTTTTCGAGGAAACCACGGCCTGGAGTCGACCGTAGGTTGGATGTTATAGCCCGCAAGGGTCACCAACGTGGGTATGATAGTCCCGATTTATATCTAAGTTTTATCTAGGTTCTGAGTTCTGCATCGCAGGATATAGATTTACGATTCATTTTTTTAAGTCTGCGTAAAAGGGAGATAATTTTCTGTTTTTAGACACCCCTTATCTTATGTACCTTATATCTTGTGATAAAGAATGCAACAGAATACCCCCAGTATATAGTCCCGAACTATAAGTTTTATCTAGGGTTTGAGACTGAGAAACGATTTACTTCACCGCAGAATAGGATATAGATTTGCAACTTGTTTTTCAATCAGTGTTAAAAGGACGCCCCTTATGTGTCTTGTAATAAAGAATGCAACAGGTTTTTCTTGGATACTTTTCAGTGGTGATTCTTATTAGACGATGAAGTATATAAATGAATCGATAGGAAATCGCAATTGACAACATGACTTCTGAGAAAGTTCATATGTTTTACTAAACTTCTGTTTGTAGTTAAAGAATTTAGTTACAGTTTACATTGTCACATATTGCTTTATTATAAAGTTTTTACAATTTGAGTTACATTTCAGGTTAGAAAAATATTGCATTTTATGTTAAAGTTGTTACATTACGATTTAATGTTACATTTTGCTTCACGTGTTGTTACATTTCTCGTTAAGGTTACATTTTGAGCCATAAACTTCGTTTCTTCCCACCCCGCCCCCCTCCCCCCACCGACTATAACAACCAGTCCAAACTTAGTGAGTTAAGTTCTTGAAAAGTTCGACGTCTGGCTCAGTTAAGTTCGTTTGAATGAGTTTGGATCGTCCAACATGTTCTATCCGTCTGCTTTCAATTTGTATTTCCGTAAATATCTGAAAAATGTCAGCGTAATTTTAATTTCGGACTGGATCGTGTCGAAACGTTTTTATATCAAATCGACTGATGTATCTATATGCCCACTGAGTAACCTTTATTAAGATACATTTGTGCGAAAAAATGAGAACTCGTTCAAAGAAAGGACTATGTTCTTGGACACACACTTCAATATTTTGTGTGAGTTTACAAACAAGCAATTAATATTAAGTGACAACTGGGGCGAAAAGGAATTCTGAATTTCATCTTCTTCATCAGTATCTCGTTTATGCTCATGTGTCGCTCATTTTCAAGAGAGAAATACAGTGCATTGAAAATTATCTATAAAGTCAAAATTTGTAATTTTTCTTTTTTAGGTGACACTTAATCATTTCGCCCATGTTACTTGGGTGATTTTGATTGCCTTGTTTTGTTTTTGATCATAAATATCTTTTCAGAAAAAATGCAAGATCTACGAAAAGCAAACTCGCCAGGGCGAACCCCAGAATTAGAAAGACAGTTGAGAGATTTTCAGCAACGTGAAGAAAACTTCCAGAGACAGATACGGGAGATGCAAGAACACGAACAGAATTTACAACGGGAGCTCAGAGTGGTTCAAGAATGGGATCAGTACTCTCAGAGCCAGCTAACGGAGTTTCGTCAACGTGAACAAAATATGCAGAGGCTGCTGAGAGAGCTTCGGGAAGCAGAACAAAATTCTCAAAGGCAGTTGACGGAGTTTCAACAGCGCGAAGAAAATTCTCAGAGGCAGTTAACGGAGTTTCAACAACGTGAAGAAAATTCTCAGAGGCAGCTGAGGGAGTTGCAGCGGCAACTAAGGGAGATAGGACAACAGTTGACCAATTCCCGAGGACAAGTTTCTGAACTACAGTTAAGTCTTTCGACAGCACAGCAAACAATAAATCAATTGCGTAACCAGGGAGCACGTGACTGGGTTCTTCCCCGGGACGAAATTCAAATCACAGAAAAATGCCTTGGGAGGGGAGGATGGGGAAGTGTCAATGAGGGAACGTATTGTGGCTGTACTGTAGCAGTGAAAGAAATCCACGAGTTGATTCTCTCCCCTCATAACATACGTCTTTTTGAGAGAGAAATGAATATTGCATCCAGGTGTCGCCATCCTCACTTGCTTCAGTTTATCGGCGCCACAGTTGACGAGGGAAGTCCTCTGTTTGTGACCGAGTTGATGGAGAAAAGTTTGCGGGCTCTGTTAGAACAGCGGCAACTGTCCGAAACAGAAATACGCACCATTTCTTTGGATGTAGCTCGCGCACTGAACTATCTTCACCAGAAGAAACCAGAACCCATCATTCACCGGGATGTGAGCAGTGCGAATGTGTTGCTATGGCGACAGGGTGACCAATGGAGAGCCAAAGTGTCTGATTACGGCACTGCTAATTTTATACAGCAGACCATGACAGTGGCTCCTGGAGCTATGATTTACAGTGCACCTGAAGCACTTACATCAAACCAAACAGTCAAGGTAAGTTTAAGTGAACATTCAAGACTTTTTACTTACTAAAACTGTACAGCAAGGCTAACAGTGGCAGAAGTGAAAGTGACGCTTGTCCTTTCCCCCAAACTCGCCCTCTTGTCCACTCCACAAACACTTCAACATTCTTGAATTAAAAATGACCATATCTTTGTCAGGAGTCTTTGCACCTTGTTCGGCACTTTTTTCACTCTTTTATGTTCTTTGTCATGCATTTTGTCCACGTAATTGGATTTGTTAATTTATCCCTTCTTTTCTCTAAAGACAACAGTTAGAGGATTGCAAAAGTTAGTATTTTTAGAAACAAAACATTTAAGCCAAGAACTTACCAAGAGGCAACAGGGGTCTTTTTTGCATGAGCATGCGCGACCGCTGACTTGACAAAGAGCACGCGAGCAGTGACAGCGACGGTGCTGCATAGTCATAGGAACCAAATTGCTCACTTTGAAAGCTTGCTTGAGATTGAAATGGTAGCAGGAACTTAGGAAAGACCGTCGTTGTACAAAATAAGTAAAGATCTGTTGATTTAAAGTGGAGACTGATGCGCTGAACGAGGTGAAAGAGCAAGTCTCTCAAGGATGTCTGACACGAACATGGCTGCTTGTTGTTGTTTGGCGCTCGACTTCGTGTCTTGATTCCCCTTCAAGAACCGCAATGTTTGGCATAGAATGCATTGCTGATGCCTAGCTATTGAGCAAAATGTTTTTTATTTAGTGTTTGTCTATAAATCGGATGTAAATCAGTTTCTCGATGCCGTAGAGGATTTCTGTCAATAATTTGTTAATAGCTGATTTAGCCATATTTCGGGAGTGGATTAATAACCATCAGCGGGCGACTACCACGCCGTTTTCAGTTGGAATAGAAAGTTTTTGCCTTACGTATGTTAGCGATACAAAGTTTGTTTATAGGAAAATTGTAGAACTTCTTGTTTTTGCGTGGACTAACATTGTAACGCATCTTTTACAGGAATTTGCTTCTAGCCATAACTTAAATGTTCTAATGATTTTTAACTTGTGGTCGGCATCACATGTTTACTGTACTTCTTGGAAAACCTAACCATTTGTTTCATCAAAATCGGTCGCAAGCTTGGACTTTAATTTCGGTCCTATTGAATGCAGTTTTGACTGTGTCTCATTGATGTTCATTTTTTTTATTGTTCGAGACATACAGAGTGACTACCACCAACAAGATCTCACCAGGTGACTAATCTACGTCTCGTGTGCTCTTAATTTTGTAGCTTTAAAGTGCTGGGAAAATTGTAGAACATATATTAATTCACTGCTGAACTGAACATCGGCTTCCGCGCTCTTCGAACCCACTCGCTGAAATTTGCTATGTTTTTTTTTTAATATTTCTCTTCCTTTCCCATTTCAAAACAAAGAAAATTGAAAGTGTTTACTGGCATCAACAAACGTTTCTGCACTTTGTTTAGACTTTGATGAGGTCAGCGCAATCCTCCAGGCACTACATATGCGCGCGCTCTTGTCCAGGTCAAGTGGAGAGATGAAATTTGATAATTGCTCGTGTATGTTAAAGCCGGTCTACTTCGCTTTTGTTAAGACCATGTTAGAGTTTTTTTTGCAAACTGCACGTTTTGTTAAATCACGAGCACATTCGCCAAGACCAACGAGCAAAATAATCGCTATGATAGCTTTAAGACGCGCCATTTTCATGAAGGCAAACCCTGTAGTGAGCCTCCATGCACATCGCTTGTTCAGCGGTCGCGCATGCTCATGCAAAAAAGACCCCTGTTCCAAGAGGCCTTTTAAGGATCTTCTGTTTTCTAGGCTTTTTTTATTCATTTATCAATCTTGATAATCATATATTTCGTTTGCATTCTCGAGATTCTCCCTCTGGTGTTACTTTAACTCTTTTCTTAATCAGTATACCACTAATAAGTAATCTAAATAAAGAATATTCTGGCATAAAGTCATGCATTATGATTGTTTTTCTTAGGTTGATGTCTACAGCTTTGGTGCTCTTTTCTGTGAAATGTGCATCCGGGAACTGCCAGATCCTACAAGGCGAGAAGAACAAGTCGTGCTCGTAACGAACTCTGTGTTTCGCGGCCTGGTACGGCGATGCCTGCAGAGAGAGCCTGGGACGAGACCAACCATGCAGGGAATAATCAATGAACTGAAAGATGCCAATGTATCATCTTAATTGTAGAACCCACTGTACACCATATCATTGATACTTCCTGGCAATGTGTGCGCTTAGCCTGTTCCAGTCGTTCAGATCGTGGGGAGTGGCGCGCGCTTTTATTTGCGTCTTCCCCACTCTCTGAATGCCTGTGGTCTGAAAATTGAAGAGGGCCCGGTGCTCTGAACCTGTGAAAATTGTGAAATCCAGGGTGCCCAGGATTTGATTTATGTGAAAAAAAAAAATTCCTTTATGCCCAAGGGCAAGATTAAGGCACCAGGCCCTGACTGGGCATATACTGGTAAAAATAGCAGCAGTTTTTGCTTGGAGATTTAGTATGGCCGGATTTTCTGATATGAATAAGTGTCTGTATGATCGTTAGAGTAACAAAAATGAAAAATAATAGCTTTATTTTTACACATGCAATATATTACTTACAAAATATATTTTTACATTTATTCCGATATTACTTTCTTATGAAGGTCATACAGCCTTAGTAGACCGCAATATAAATCAAAGATAGGGGTAGATAATGTAGCCTGCGTCGTAGACGTAATCTTAATCCGGTTTATAATTTAGTAGTAACGTTCTTGTTCTGGGCCCTCAACGGACTGAAAGAATTACCGGAAATGCGTTTCGATTTTCTCTTCCATCTGATTTGCAAATTAAGAATGGCTTTTTTCACTGGGTAAAAAGCCAATTAGGATATACCACTGAATCCGCGTGTAGCTGAGTAGGTCACCTGCTTATGAGTAGGTCATACAAATGAAATAGGCCATGTTATATATACAATATTGAGTGAAGACACAAGTATATGATGGCTTATGAAACGTTTTAGCGTTTACAATTAAACTTGCGAGTTAGAAAGCAATTGTGATCAGTTAGAGTTTCATATGCAATGGGTTATTTGAAAAATCGAGTGCACATCAATTAAGATATTACTTACTTATAAAGTAAGTCATCCACGTAGAATAGACAATATTTAATAATTAAAGAAACGAGTAGATGTGTCGCTTATATTTGATGTACTATTAGAGTTTTCTATTCAACGTGTAAGTCGACTTATAGAATAGGATTTTACCCAAATTACTTATTAAGTATACAGTGAGTATAGGTCGTACACTTAAAATAGACAATATTTTAACAGAAACGAGTAGATTATCTTGCTTTTTGCAAATCTTACAGGACACTCAATAAATATACAACTATGGCGGCTTTTAAAGCCGAGGTTGAGGCGATGTCTGTCTTGTTGAGGCTGTTATGATGAGGGTGTTTCTTGTTTCGAGACCACAATGCATTTATTTATGCCAGTAATTCTGACAGGAATGACATCGTACAGATCATCGTATACAGCTCCGCACAGCTGCTAAACACATCGATCACGCATTGTTAGTAGCAATGCATTTCTTGGAAATTGAAGGGTGTGAGTCAGCTGACTCTCTTATATCTGAGCGCTTGGAGTTAAATCAGGGCATTCAGTTTGAGGTGGACCTAGAGCGAGGAGCATAGAAGCTTCAATCCAACCACGTGCACAGTGCAGTTTAAAGAGACAAAGGTAAATTTTTATCTTTTTTGTTCATAAGAATATGCCGTTTGGTTTTAAATTTGGCGAAAGGGATCAAGTTTTATTTAAAAGGAAGTATGTTGCCCTGTTTTGGCTCTTGGAATTATGAAGGAGAAATGCTTTCCTTCAAGGCCTTCCACAGTATGGGAAATCAAGGAAAAAGAGCTTTACACTTAAGAACGTGTTTTTTTACAAATTCGATACCGGTTATACTTCAATGACATAAATCATATATATAACCTGAATTGGTGTAAATGTTTGCAAGACATCTGCTGATGCGCAGAAAACAGTTCTCGGAAAGAACGATCATGACGTTTATGAATGTAAATATGAAGGCAGTTTTGCAAACCTGGCAGTGCTTTCTGTTCGATTCATATGAAGGTTCAATCTCTTCCTTCTTTTGATGGTCGTTCTGCGTTGTGTTTTGGCAAGACTCGGCATATTGGTAGTACGTAAAAGCGGAAGTGTTTTTGCCGAACGTGTTTGCTATCTCATTTCATCAAGACAGAAAACATTTGCCTTTTAGAATTTCTGAACAAAGTTAAAAGCAATACATTGATCTTTGCAAATTAAGAAGTTGTTTTAAAACAGTCTAACCTATCTCCAGCGTATGCAAAATACGTAGCCTATATTTAGTAAGGAAATCCCGAAGACAATGCGGAAGTTTACCCGTTTCTAAGAATTGTGTGGTCCTACAGTGGATTAAGTTTGAAGGTGGAAATGTCACGGTGAGGATAAAAGCTACCGGTAGTCTTCAGTGACTAAAACACTGCGTGTCTGCAGTTAATTACAGGACTAACTTGTAAATAATTGTTAAGAGACAAAACTGTACATTTTAACTTGAGTTTTTTCAAATGAATGTCGCTTGGTTTAGCTTGATATGGATTCCGCATGTGTCGACAAAAATAAAGGGCGCTGAAAATTGCAAAGAGTTTACTGACAGAACCAACTAAACGATGTTAAGCATGTTACTGCAGCGTCTACTTGTACTTCTTCTTGTACTGTATCTCACGTTAATCCAACCTAATGCTAATGAGAAAATAACTTTTTACAGCGTATTACTAAAAAACCCGTCTGAAACCGTGTTTATCATATATGAATATGGTCCCAAGTGTTTCGATTCAGACCTGTTTCTGAAAATTAGTGGTTGTTCAAATGCCTTTAAGGAGTGAGCTTTAAAAAACATTCGGACCTGTGTCTGATAAATAGTGGTATCGACTGTACATGTTGACTTGGGAGAGAACCTTGCAGGAATCGGTAACGATGAAAACTTTGCTATGTCTTTTTAGGAAAGTTTGAAACACAATGTGAGCCAGCTATTTGTTCTGAAGAGCGTCTTGGTGTAACGAACCAAGCTGGTGGAACTGTGAAGGGCAACTATTTTGGCAACTGGTACGTCATTTGCACCAGTGAACAAACCCATTTCCCGACAAAGATGTGTGACCACGCAACAAACAAGAAACCTGTTTTGGAAGAGATCACGCACTAAGGAGGAAAAGGAAGAAAAAGTAAGAAAACAGAGATGTACAATGACATTTCCAACCAAAGAAGAAGTCAACTTTAATTTGCTCTCCGGTTTGAAACTTTTGACCTGCCAAATAATGGCAAAGAGTCAAGTTGCAATTCTAAAAGTATCCTGAAAAGCTACGCCAGTACAAAGACCGGTTATCGTTTGCCAAATGTCCAGACCTTTTGACATAACCAGGTTCACATAGTCGTGGGATGTATCTTCTTCCCTCTTCATCATTCCTTTGTGGATCGTATCTATGAGAAATGGCTTCACAAGTTCAACAAGAACGCTTCGGTTCCTTCAACCTACAATTCACCCATCGGACACAACAAAGATACGTCATTCTACCACTTTATCCTGTGTATACTACAATTACACTATCACACACACTATTACACTCATCAACAGATGTTTAAGAAGTCTTTCGAGTTCGGTTATGACTACGACGATGTCCACGAGAATGGTAAGTACGCATTAAGTTTCTACATGACCTTCCTTTACTTCTTCCTTTACCTTGAATGCGATTTAGTGTAATTGTAGAGAAACCTTTAAAGGTAAAATACATTTTATGTCACTCGAACCCCGCTGTACGGACACCCATCGTTAATTACGGACAGTTTTCTTTGTTCCCGAGGAAAGCCATTTCCTCTCTTAAATTCAATCCCTTGGGAGTTCAAATGGCCCTAAAAGACACTGAAATCAATGCTTCTGCAAAACTTTGGGGTGACAAACAGAGAGCATTATGGGTATGTTATGACATTTTCTGTGGTGGTCAATAGTCGTTATTGTGGAAAATAGACACGTTCGTCTTTCCAGTCAACAAATATAAATTTCTCATAATTATATTAGGAGGGAGAAACCAACATTGAACATGCAGCTTAATCATCTGAGCTTACTCTTCTGTTTTAACTGGATTTTACTTTTACTATCGTTATCATCATCATCAATATCGTGATCGTTATCATTACTTATTTTCTTCATTTTTGCTACATATTATTATACCTTTGAAGAGATTGAAAACTTTACGTTTTTCGCTGTGTTATATTTGTTACCTTACGCTTATTCAGGATAACGTTACGTAGATTCAAACAGACCCTAGTCCAGCTTAGGTTGCGTAGCAGGCGCCCATTGTCTCCAAGCGCCTTCTGTACAGGCTATATTTAGCTTGCATTTGTATGGTTTGTTTTATTAATTCAGGCCACGTGGTGTTCTCCAGGGAATTTGCCTTTTGTCCTTTCATAGATTATGCATGCTTATGCACGTGGATGCATAGAAAAACCTCTGGAGGATCTCGGAGCAAAGGAGAGACAACAACAAACTTAACTCACAAATGGCGTCGACACAGGGATTTGGACCCGGGCCACATTGGTGGGAGAGGAGTGATCTCACCACTGCGCAGGAAGAGAAGATTACATAAGAGTAGGGCTGAGAATATTCAAAACAGAAAGCTAAGCTGAGCTGAGCAGAGCAGAGTTGAGAAGAACACAAAAGAAGTGCAGTTAGCCTTCAGTTAATCAAAAATACAGTTTATAGGGTTCTGTTAGCTCAGCCCTGGATATAATGCATCACCGTGGACTCCTCAAGTGTATCGCTGCGATATTTTGATCGTCCTAAAATGTCGAACAAACTATGTGTCCCTTTGAATAATTTAAGGCAGCATAGTTCTATCAATATAACCTCCCACCCCTCGATACCCGTAAAGGTCAATATGTGTATCATATTACCCTTTCTGTGCTGCCCAGTACAGCATTTCATCCAATATGAGAAAGTGAATGCGATTTGAAATCAAATTTGTGCTTCTCCTTCGGAGAGTCGAGATTTTAATACCAGACTCCATTTCAGCCCCAAATAAAGTAGATCATTTAGAGAAGACAGGATTGCCTTAAGGATAGCATAGTTTATCAACTAAGAATTGAGTTTTAGACGGAATCCACCAGGAAACTGAGT